CAGTAAGGTCATGAATAAATTGCTTGAGTCTGAGGTGAGAGAAAAGACTGATAAAAGTTCAAAGTTTGGTATCGCTGCTAATATGCCTATGAGGAGCACATTAATTTCCATTGGAATATCATTAGGGAAATTAGTTTGTTCTACCAGTTTGTGTTGCTGGAAACCATATGTTTACCTTGAGGGAATGTTTGTGGAGAACCACTTTGGGTTAATTGTAAATGTCACAATTAAATAAGTAAATATACAGAACTGTATCTGTGATCTGCATCAGTGCACAGACACTGTGTACCAGTACACTGGTGTGCCACATTATGTGTGTACATATAAATATGTACTTTTATGTACTAAATCCATACCAAGCAGCTTATCTGGACACACAGACATCAGCTACAAGCAGCACCCGCATTTTGTCTTTCTGATCTGTTTATCACTACATACATATGGCACTGTACCAGGCTTTTTTATCTATTTAATGCTTGCATTGTGAGCCCTGAGAACCAAACTTTAAACTTTCCTCTTGCTGTTGACAGGTGTTGCACATTAATTCACCTGGCACAAAAAAAGGCAAGGAGGGGGAGAGAGAAGAATTCAGATTCTGTATTAAAAAGCTCAGATTAGCTGCAGTCACCTTACAGATTACTACGGATTCAAATATGTTGCCTTTAAATGTTCTTTTGCCCCCGATTTGCAGAGGATTTGAAGGTTTTCAGTATCTGGGCAGATTAAACCTTGAGAACATGCAAACAAACCTGTCACGTGGGTCTTTGTCATGCAAACTTGAGGCTGGGTTCAATAACAGCCCCGTTAGCCTTCTGCATTGCAGAGGCCTTGAAAAACTGATGTTCTGTTTTGCCACTGATTTCAATGGAACCAGCTTCTGGCCCTCCAGTGCAGATTTATTCCTGTAGATTGTAGCTACTTCTGAAATTCTTGATTTCGTGTGTGTTAAATAGTCAAAATTCCAATAGAGACCAGTGGGAGCTGCAGACTTTCCTGTGTATTTTTGACCATTGCTGGAATATTAACTCCTCTTGGATACCTTTTTTTTTTTCCTTTGAAAATATATTTTAGGGATGTAAAGGCCTGATGAAAATGTACTGGAGTAAACACAAGTTTTTCTACTGAACTCTGGAAAGAGGTGTTGAAAGCAGTTGGCCCTTCTTTACAGCAGGGGTATGTCTTTAGCAGAAACAGGCAATCTAAGACCTACTGTTAGTTCAACATTAATTCAAGGAAAATACTCTCTGAAGTGTCCAGAGCTTGTTATCACAGTGAATACCTAAGGCTACAGTGTGTTTTTAAGCTCAACTTCCATTGTCCAATAGTAATTTTTAAGTAAGAAAATCTTCACCTCACCCTGGATAGAAATAAGACATATTATTGACTGGCATCCGGAAAGATGTAGGCTCTGGCCCTCATGAGTCTATTAATATTTGATGCTGATGGATGTGAGCTGGCAGCTTGAGTTATTAATGGAGTTTGGTTCCCTGTACCTAACCCCCAATACATAGGGGAGAATTAACAGTAACAGGAGTTGTATGCCCAAACCTCTCCTTGTACTAAGAGTCTATCATTTAGTTTCAGCAACATTTAGTTAATATTTCTGAAGTACTTTAAAGGTATGAAAAGTCATATAGATGGTGTTGGTTACACTGTTGTCATCATTCATTTTGATCTAAACTGGAGTCTCTAAGTCCCTGGGACCAAAGACCACTTGTGTCCTTGCTGTGTTGTGATGCTCCCATCAGACCTGGATTTCATACAAGAGAAAGGGCTCGCTCCAGTTAGCTTCTGAGCAGTTGCTTGGAGATAGGGGATGCCCTATCTTTGGTTGTACTGAGGTGCCCTCTCACAGATTTGGGTGCAGGAAGGTGTAATGCAGTCAAAGAAGAGAGAGGGCAGGAACATGCTGCTTTGCACAAGGAGAGGAGCGTTTACTGAAATTGGCCCTGATCCAACATCCAGTAACATTAAGCTTTTGTAGTGATAAGGTGAAAGTCAGATGTGACCCCTAAAATCAAGAGATAATACGTTTGGATAGCTATCGGGAAGATACTTTGATCAATTGGGCCTTCTAGCTGAAAATGATGAAGAAAATGAAGCACTTCGGAAGGTTTGTGATGTCCATATGGATCGTTCTGACTTGGAAGAGAAAGATATAAGATATCAGGTTTTTTATAGCTAGATTTCTTAATATAGCTTTAACATTTTCAGGGGTATATGTTTGATTGAATTAGCTACTCCTTCCCATCATGTATACCACATCCAGGCATTTCACTATACTCATTAGCCTCCTGAACTTAGTAGAAGAAAGAATAATCAACATACGGAGCACAGCTGTTGATTAATTTTACAAAATAGGATAGAAATATAAAGTACCATATTGCGAGAGTGAAGATTCAATACGTAACATTTGAAATTAGTTTAATAGAACATATAACTCATTAACAACTGGATAGGAGTATCCGGCAGCATTATGGAGCCGGGCAGGTGGTGAGAGGGAGGTGGAATTTGCATATCTGTAACAGTACCTGCTTGCATTTAATTTCATAGGTCATTCTCCTAAATCAAGTTCAAAATGTTAATAATGGGGTGTGCATTCATAATTAATAATATCTTAGAGCTGGTACTATAGTTCAAGTGCATTTTCCTGTTATATAATAGAGAAATTAAGTATATTTGGCAGTTGTCACTCAGAGAGTTCGGAAGGTCTCACTTGTCAAAGCCAGGGTAGAAATCTCATTAAGGCAGTTAGTTTTTCAGTTAAGGTTTGTTTGCAAAATAAATGCATAAAAGGCAGAGAGCCAGAATGACCAGCTTCTGTCAGTCCATAAAACACAGTATATTAAAGTAAACGCCTTGCAGAAGTCAAAGACATTTTGAATAATGCTGAGACAGCCCAACGTTTAGCTTGAGTACAGCACCTTTTCTCTTGGATACTCAAAGGGTTTTAGCTGTGTCTGACTGCCCTCCAGGCAGACTGATGCAAGTCTACAGCAAATACATGAATTTGCACCAGCCTGTTGTGCACATGGCCAGGAAGAAGTCCTCTGCATCATACATGCTGAACAGTGGTCACAACAGCAGCTGGAGAACTGGAAATCCGTGTTCTCCCTCCGTCCAAGGCTCATATGCTGTTTAAGCTATTATGGCCTCCGTGGGAATATTTTCACCCCGCATCACTCTTGTTTTACTTTCCTTTTCAAAGGCATTTTATTATCCTACTAGATCGCTAGTTCAAACCCAGGTAAGGTCAGCTGTCACAGAAATTATTAGCAGTACCAGCCGTTCTGTGTTGTACATGAAATGAGTTGGGAGTTTCATTCACACAAGAAACAGCTTTCTAAGTGGCACTAATTGGCTGTCTAATTGTCAGACGCAGGAGAAAGGCGAAGGATTGATTAGGCGTGGAGACTGAATGCCCCTCTGCTGAGGCGGCCGGCTCATGGCTCCTGTGGCTCCCATGCAGGCGTGCTGGCAGGGTAATGAGGGGCAGCGAGCTCTGGCTTTTCTGGCTGCCAAGACAGCACCTTTTACAGCCAGACCTTTTCGTGGGAGCTTGTTTTACTCCACCAAGGTCAAAGATAGCATCCTTTGCAAACACTCCTTTCGCTCAAAGATCAGTGGCTTGTAGGATTTACTGCTGAGTAGTACATATTTTAACCATTTCTTTTACCCTCCCCCTAAAACAAGTTTTTTAGTCTGGAGCAGGAAGACGTATTCTTGCTAAGCAGACTGGCTACAGCAACCATATGAGGGGTTGTGGTACCCAGAAGTCTGTCTGTTGTTTCCTTTTACTGTCTCAGTGTCAGATGCTATGATAAACAGACTCCTGGACTAGGGAGGTACTTGGCCTGGCATAGGGAAAATGGCATTTTGTGCATTCATTTCCTGACAAATGGATGGTCCCATCAAACAGTAAAGGCTCTAACCTGGAAATATACCCTTTTTGACCAATATCTTTTCACTGCAGTTACGATATAGGTCACTCTGTGCAATGTAGTACTGTTTAGCTTCAGAGTAGGATAGCTTTCTCTGATGCAGATTTAAATTATTGCAGTTTAATTCACTGAAGAAGTAAATTCCAGTGACCAAGTTGTGATGTGGAAGTCAAGTCTACACCTAGAGGAAAATGGAGCAAAAATACCTTATGAATGCTAACATACATTGAGCAGACTATGGGACTGTAGGTTTAAAGGGATCATGCTCACTTTTTCACTCCCTTATCGCATCAGATGACCAAAGAAAGAACTGGATCTCTCTTTTCAGCCACACAAGTTAATCAGTGTACCATAACTTACTGTTAAAGTATTCTATATTACTGGTAACATAAAAGTGTTTACCCTCTCTTCCCTCGTTTCCCCCACACCTCAGGCAGAAATAGGATAGGGACAGTCTGTGTCTGTGGTTTGCTCCATGAGCCTGCTCTGTCCAACATACACATCTCTCCTCGTTCAGTGTTCTTCCTGAAGTCACAATCTCATGCAAATTTAGTGAACATAAATGGAGGTACCAGCTTCGCCAGTGTGTCATCAAAAAGGTTTAATGCACCCGCCGTGTAGTTTTCCACTCTGCTAATATGCCGAAGATGATCATGCAAGAGATCCTTTAGCTTTTTAACAACCCTGTTCTTAAAATATATTTTCAAGAAAATGCAGAGCAATCGTTGCACAGTTTCAGACTGTATATTTTGTGATTAGTGTTTCATAAGTGATGTTTTGCTTAATGATCTAACATCTGTTCTAGGAGGTTTGTTTTTGTAACTCTCCCACCTCCTGCTGAATGAATGCCAGAGACTTGTCCCTTTCCTCCAAGTCAATCAAAGCACTAATTGCATCTTAATCATGGCAAGCAGTGGTGACTGTTCAAGTGCCGAAGACTCAGCAATCAACTTACAACACTCTGTTTGCTGTTTTGAAAGAGAAAGCCACCCTATGCAGGGATGGGAATTTCCTGCAATTCTGATTTCTTTAGCTGACTCTTACTTTTTTGGTTTGCAGGGAGATGACTGCTCCATTACCTGCATGGCAGGCACCTATGGTACCAATTGCTCATCTGTCTGTGATTGCAAAAATGATGGTGCCTGTTCCCACGTGGATGGTCTATGCATTTGCAAAGAAGGTAAACAAAATTTAGATTTAACAATTGTCTACATAATATCTAGTGTATCTAGCGTAAATGCTTCTCTGCCTTGTAAGCTGTACAGTTGCGTGGTCAGTTACTCCACTATTTCTTTGTATCTGATAATTCAACAATCTGCCCAAGCATCAGAACTCAACAGGGGCTTGACTATACATTTTATCTCTGCCTGAACAAGGGACCAGGCTTAACTGCTTTGCTGTGAGAGCAGGCTGCAAAACAAAGTGCGCTTACAGAGCCACAGCTCATCTCCAAAGGAACCGAGAAGCGAATCCGACTGTTCATATTTTTTACACTTCGCTATCACTTTGTTGCCCCCTTTCCCCAGGAGTGAATAGCCTCTGCTCTCCCCTCCATGCCTGGAGTAACACAACGGGGCAAGGGAACGAAGGCAGGCTCCTGCTTGCCCTTCCTCTCACCCCTTGCACTGTCAGACAAGCCCTGTGTTAGGGCCCTGAGGGCACTAATAGGTCTTAGTGGCCCTGACCAGCTCCACCTGGAACCTCCACCCACCCTCTCTATGGGCTTAGGAGCCCATTTCAGCTCAGCCCTGAGCTCAGGAGCCCCTTTCAGTATAGTCCTGGGATGTGCTCTAGGAGGGCTGGTCTCCAGCTCTGCCACAGCTGTGCCTGTGCCTAGCCATAAACTGTGTTGATCCAACCCATGGACCGGCTTCCTGGCTTGACCTCGAACCTGTCTCATCATCATGGACCTGCCTGGTGATCACAGGGCTTTGTCTGTCCCTGGTTACCCTCACCAGACCTGGCCCTGACCTGTGGATTGACTTCAGACCTGCCTCATCACCATGAACTTGCCTGATGATCTGGGCTTCCTGCTGCCATCCCCAGGGCTGCCTTGCTCACCTTGATTGGGTACTGTGGGACTGTTTGCAGGACTAACCTCTTTTCTTCCTGTAGATATGCCCATACTTTCCTTATATGCTTGGTGGTGAACATAACCCCTGTATCCAGTACTCATTTGAGAAATAGCATACCTCTGCGCAGCACAGTGTTGCCTCTGTTCCCTGTGTAGTGATGTGTAGAGCCTTCCCCCAAAGCCTCAACACAAGCTATGCCTGTATGGCATACATAAGCCCTAAACTGGCAGTGAGGCAAATAACAATAAAACCTGGCATTTCAAACATGAATTAATGAATTACTGTATAACCCCATTTAACGAGGGTGCATAAACCATGAGTTACTGCTCAACTCCATTGCATACAGCTGCAGTGTAATGAAAGCCATTGTGGGGCTGGTAGTTAAGATTTGAGCCTTAATGGCTAGAAATGATGGCTTTGGTCTTTTTTTAGGTGCAATAGCTTCTTTAGATTAGAGCATTCCCACAAAAATATGAGGTAAGAAACCAGCAATGTCATGCGGCGAGTTTCTTGTGTTCTCACCACGCAGCAGCTTTCCAGCCTGCTGGGCATCACTGCACTCTCTCTTCCTGCCAGAGCAGTTCCCAGAAAAGCATCCGACATCTTAACCTGGCAAAGAGCCCATGCAGTGGTACCTCTACTTTTGCTGAGAAAACCTTCCCAACACTATTTCTCTTATATGTGTCTCTAGGGTGGCAAGGAGTTGATTGCTCTATTCCATGTTCAAGTGGAAGTTGGGGTCTTAACTGTAACCAGACATGTTATTGCACAAATGGAGCGGCCTGCAGGCCAGCCGATGGCTTTTGTCTCTGCTCCCCAGGATGGCAAGGAGAGTACTGTGACCAGCCATGTCCGGTAAGTTAAACTTAGTTAGTCTTAGTTAGTCTTGCATCCTCTCTAAATGCCATGTGGTCCACATGATTCTTTTAAATATAACGTAAGTCAATATCGTATCTTCTTTTTGGATTTCTGGGGGAAATCATGTGTAAATAACAGATTGGGATTCTAGCAGTCAAGGAGATGGATTATGTTTTCTACTATATTTTATCAGAGCTATTGCAGTGTTATCTGCGTTTTCTTGAACATCATTTGTTAAAGTGATTTGGTATTTGGTTCTATATAGAAATGTTAGGCACTGAGTTGTTTCTATCTTCACTGTATGTTAATTTTAAAAATGCGACTCAGCATTAAAATGGACATGATAGATGATTTTGCACATTTTAGAATAAAAATCTGATTACTGAGAGGCTTTTTTATTTATATTTTTGGAAGGATGGAACATATGGTCTTAATTGCAGTGAACGTTGTGATTGTAGCCACGCAGATGGATGTGATCCTGTCACCGGTTACTGCTGCTGTCTGGCTGGATGGACAGGTATCTTTGTAAATCTTGCTTGCTTTTTTTTTTTTTTTTTTTTTTAACTATTGCATCAGTTATAGCACTAGACTTTTAACTGCAAACTTTTAAATAATAGACTGAGACAAGATCGGCTGAACTTACCCATATTTAAGTCATTCCTGATGGTGACAGAGTAATTGGCATTGATTAAATTTTTATTCATATTAGTTAAACGTGGTTCCAAACCTGGAGCCAGATGTCAGCCTTCTGTAAACAGAGTCCTCAGGAGAGAAGAAGATCATCTGGAAATCCTGCTAAGTTTCTCCTTGAGTGGCCCTTTCCATGGGGGTGCAGTTGTGGGACTCTGAATCCTGGGACCATCATACCTGGAATGCAAATAGTCATTGTGTGGATACTAAGAGTCATTGCAGTTGCATGATCATACAAAAAACAGAGTTGTCCTTCTGCTTTTGCCATTTTCCCATGCTTTGTATCGTGCCAAAAGGTAGTTATGAAGAGCAGATTAATGCCTGTCTGACAAAGAGTTCTCCTGATTACGAAGAGGCAGAGAGAAATGTTCAGTGAAGTCTGAGAATCTGAGAGAGTCCAGGTTGGGGATCTCAGTACACTCAGACCTGCGCTTGACTCTGTACTGCCACACCTCTGCCAGCTGTTGACAGCTAACACAATGGCAGTGGGAGGCAAGTTATTGATCCACCCAGTATTTCACACTTAGCGGCCTAACATACAGGTTAATCTCCCTCAGCTCCTTGTAGAAGCCCTGGAGAGAAATAAGCTGATATTATTGCCCATAACTGCAGAGCCACTAGTGGCACTGGCAATCAAGATGCATTTGTATTAACAGCAATTTGTTAGGGAAACTAAATTGCTTTCTGAACAAGTGCAAGTTGGGAGAATGCGTGGAGCAAGGCAGGCTGAGCAGAGGAGAAGGCAGCCACATTCAGGATGCTGCACCTTGTTCCTGCATCCGTGCATGAACCAACGCAGGCCATCTGCTCCTAACGGAGAGACCATTGCTGCAGCAGCCCACCTCGCAGGGGCAAGGAACAAAGGCAATGGAATCAGAGCAAGTACGTGAAAATGGAAAACATCTAGGAAGTTCTGCACACTACTTAGAATAGCGGCTTTTCAAACATACTGGACATACATGTCTGAAAAGGGCACTAACACCCCCCCAGCTTGCGTTCTTTACTCACTGGACAGCATTCATCTTTGCTTGAGACTCTCTACCATCAGTATATCCATCTATCAGGCTTTAAAACACTGCTGTGTATTATTGATGACCATCAGAAAAGCCATTGATAGGTTTTCCTACCATTTTTTTGAGTTTCTTCATGAGATAAAATGGTGTTCAAAAGTATAGCAAATTCCAAAATTTGCTCTAATTTTAAGGAACGCAAAAAATATCATTACTCTAAAGGTGTATTATACAGCTTCCTGTATGTAGTGTTACCCAGGAAAGTGTTTCCTATGCTAACCTATTGTATGTTCCGTAATTTGGGACTATGCAGAAAAAAGGTGTGTTTGTTTTCTCAAAGGCATTTGCAACACATATTCTATACTTACTCTCACAAACATATGGACATTTTTTTAAATTTACATCAAAGGCAGATGCAGATTACTCCAACTAAACATTGGAATAATTTCTGCAAAATCCTTCCTTTTTTTTTTTTTTTTAATTTTGATAGTGGACAAGATAAGCATATGTTAACTTGCAGGGGACTTATTGCAAATGAAGCACTTTATCCTCCAGTGTATCCCTGCATGTTTGGACCTCCCATTAATTTCTAGGGTTTCAGTATCATACTTCAATTAAGGAAGAAAATATTGCATTAGTATTCCAGACCAGGTTGTAGTTGAGATCTTGACAGGATCGTGTAAGGTCTGCACTGGAAATGATGACTTGCAGACAGAGCCAACATGTGTTTTGTCAATTCTGTTTTCAATGTTTTGCCACTTGGCTTAGCACCAAACACAAGGATAAATTCTGCTCCTACTAGTTTGAAAGTATGTAATCTCAGAAACACTTCAGCTAGATAATTATATTTTCATATTAAGGAGTACGGCACCAGTGAAAGATTAATCTTATCATGTGCCGTTGTGAACTGGGCCATGATGTATATTGCAGCGCATTTTATAAATATGGTGTGATAAATAATTCAGGCTCAAATTTATGCTTTCTGAGTTTGGTACTAATTAGGCATGGCCTGAAAAAGATCAGAAAAGTTCAGGATCATGGAACATCTGAAGGTTTTCCAACCCACTCACACTAGACAGAGAATTCACATGACTTTCTGATCCTAATAGCCACAAAACTTCATCTGAAACAGCATATTCTGTGTGTTCATTCCACACGTGGGACTCCTTCCTTGATATCAGTGATCTATGTAAAGATCAAGGGGAAGATTGAGCCCATTTTCTTTAAAGTAGTTTCCAAGATGTTACTGAGATAAGCCTTCGGAGACTGATAGAGGATAGGCGCATGGTGGAAGACTGGAAAAAAAGAAACAAGGCATGTAAAGAGTAGCGTACAGTATAGTTAATAGCAGTGTACCATGTCTTTATGATATTACGATTGCCACCCATCTGGCCTCTATTATGCAGGACAATGTTTAGCTGCCCTTCCACGTGTACCAGCTGGGTGAAGGCAAGATTCAGGAGGTGAGTGTACCTGGCAGAGGGGAGGGTGATGAAAAGATTCTCATATATCAGCCAGGAGATCACGAAGCTGTACAGACCAAAGCTCCTTAGAGACATGGGAATACAGTTCCTGTGAAGTTCAGTGGGGAGTTGCATGCAAGCAGCCAAAGGCAGAAGTTAGACCTTGAGAAACAGCTTAGATCTAAGATAACTGCTTCCTGTCATTATTGCTGAAAATTACCCAAACAGGTACACAGGCACGCTGTGTCGCAAGTGATTGTGTAGAGAGCATGGAAAGCGTTAACGTTTGTTCTTAAAAGATCAAAAACACATTGGGAAAAGGCTCTCATGTGGCACAACCAAAGTGAAACTTGTTCAAGCGTGGGCCAAAATCAGATCTCTGACATGCCAGCACGATGTGTGGCTGACGATTCCTCCACATGAAGGAAGTGTCAAATGCAACGAAAAGTAAGGGCTCAGCTTTGTATTGAATTGAGGTGTCCAGCCTGCTCCAGTGCTGCTAGGTTAAAGAGGAAAAGTATAGCCCCCAGCAGAATCCAGAATCGACTAATTAGACTGATTGCTTTCCAAAGATTAACAAGGATCTCTCTTATTCCAGATCTCCTGTGCGTTTTAGATGCATATCACTTTTGTGTTTGCAGCTGTGTGTGCATGCATGTGCAGATACCTTAGAGCTAACAACACACTCATTTGCAGGAGAGCTGCTATTTTGTGTACATTCAGGTTAAAATGAAAACGCTTGAATATAGAGTGCTTCAGTGCTAATTGCATTAGGTTAATTAGGGACCTCACATACGCTGAGTTCCCCAAGAGAATGGGAGGTGCAGGAAAGCTGCATGGTGGAGTGTCTCCTGCAGTCTTTTGCAAGCAAATCGGACCTACAGGAGCAGGCACGAGTCCCAGCTCGCCCCTATGAAACCTCCTCTCCTGGATGCTCAGGTCCTGAATTTCAACAAGGCTCCTCCTGCTTTATAAGTAACCTTAAACTAGAGCTAAAAGGAGAAGCTGCCATGTCAGGCTTGCTGCCCTTCGGATGGGTCAGAAGTGACAGAGAACGAGGGGAGGCAGGGTTCCTACGCAGCTTCGGAAAGCCATTGGGGTCGCTGGGCTGCAAACCCCGTCAGCGTGGCCCTCCCTCATCCAGCCCCCAGGACCCGGGTCCGCTCACTTTCGCGGCCAGACGTCGCGCTCACAAGCAGCTTGCAGAGCAGAAAGCCGCAGGCCCAGCTGATACTCCCAGCAAGCTCGTTTCCTCCCTGAAACATGTCAGTGTGCTCCGAGTTAATTGTGGCAGCATGTATTTTGCTAACCTTTTAGATATTTCAGTGGGATTAAATAGGAAGCTATCTACAGGGGGATATATTCCATTCCTTTAAATGTTAAGGTCAGCTAAAATCCTGTTTATCTGAATTCCTTTAATCTGAAATGCTCTCTTATCTGAATCTTGGTTATGATGTCTTTCATTTTTTGTATGGCTGTGATTTTTACAGAGCGCTGTAGTCGCAACGCTGTCTCAATTATCCCACTGAACTGGTTTATTCAGTAGCTGTTCGGAACATGCAAAGCCAAAGTTTATTCAGTGGAATTTGACGTCCCAGAAACGGGAGGAAATGGGATTGTACAGTAAATATAAGATGGGAACTATAGGAGTATGTGTCCCACAGTTGATTATAAAAGAACCCCTCGTAGATTTAATTAAACAGGATGGCAAATACAGGTAGGAAGATACGTAGAACAGGTAGAAATACGGATTTGGGTCATTAAGGAAGAAATATCTTGTTTTTCCACTGGTACTTCTCACCTTCAGACTTTGTTCCCCTGTCACAAGAGAAGCCCCCCTCCTTGCCATAGCATCAATCGCTTTCACGAGTTGCCAGCAACGTAAACCCTAATTGTCTCTTAGCGTGTCCCAAAATCCTGCACGGCAGTTGTGGCAGTGTGGCGCCGCAGGGGTTTGCGCGTGCGGTGGCGTGAGCAAGCTTGTGGGGCAAGGAAGGGAGGGAGGCCGGTCACGGGTACGGTGAGCGCTGAGGAGTGGGACTTCGCGTTGGAGAGCATCCGCAGGCTGCCAGTGACATCTGCGCTGTCACTCAAGCGCAGCAGCCTGTTTCGTCCCTCCTGGGGGCACATTAATTCAGTAGAAGTGCTAAGCCTTAACTCAGGGGAAGGCCTTTGGGAATTTTAAAGAAGCAGTGGCCACTTTGCTGGTGAGCTCTAAGGTATTTTTAACCTCACTCTTTTTGGGGTCTTTGCGAGGAGGTGGTATATCTTTCAAGAAAAAAAGAAAGAAAGAATAACTTTCCATTTAGCTTTCCATAAAACATAATGTGTTTGTATTAATAGGACTTTCCCTC